AAAACGGGCCACAAGGGATGACCGGTGAGACTTCCTGTCAAGATATACGGACTACTAAGTTTGACAACAAATAGCTGATTTTGGTCTTTGGGTTTTGCTACTGAAAAAATCATAGGAATGAGAATCGCGTGACTCATGTCCATTAGAGCACGTGATGGATCATGGTTTCAAGTCTTTCCCGATGACCTTCGTTCATGTTGTGTGCACCTTGCGGTATAGACACAATTTCGTCGGTGCAGATTTCAAGGAAAGCGAAATATCTGCATTCTGTCAACTAAAACTTAGTGAGAACTCAAAATTGGCCAATAAGCCATTACAACACAATATATATGACCAGTTAGGAAATAAAAGTAATTATAATGTTCAACAGTTTGCTGGATCATTCGTCCTCACTTTGCATGTGGGTGACCTGAACTCACAGAGCATAAGATCACCAGACAATGCATGAGACCGAAAAAATCGTACGACCCTATCTGAAATATAACGATGAATGTACGCCTGAAAAACAAATGGTTTGAACCAGGAAATTAACTTCGATCAATTCGTCTAGCATTCACAAAAATATGCTCCATGTCAACTTTGAAAACTTCAGTCAAAGCCAGTGCTACGAAGCGAACACCCGGAAGAGGGTCTTGGATGGAATGCAAAAATATATTGTTCTTATACTGCCACGTCAAAACCGGCTTTCATAGGCTGAAACACACACACCATAGACAAAGAAGTGGAACAATCTTGACTTCAATGGCCACTAAACTTATATGAATTCTGCTGAAAGCCTGGGATTTTCGTTGGCATTCTTGCATGTAAGGAAATAACGAATAGAGTATTGTTAGATCTGAGGGCGTCTTCTCAGCCAGTTGCAAAATTGAGCTAGTAATGCTTAAGATCATACAGGATTCCGTACATTAGGAAAACATTTTCCCAATTCCCACAGATTGCGAAATTACGCCATATTTCAACATGTTAATATTGCTGTCTATTGCTCGCGCACAATAAAATGTTGGCTATTGTTCCGTGGGATCAAAGTCATGTGGTGGTCATCCTGCAGCGCGCGAGTTCAACCCGATGGAGTATACTTTGGGCACACTTTTACATCAGGTGTGCAAGAATTCCATGGTTTACTAGTCAGACGCCGAATTAATAACCGCCCTTAAACGAGAATCAGTTAATATTGATCAAGGGATAATCACAGGCGTTGTAAGAAGTATGCCAAGAAGATACATAAATGTCCACGAACATAATGGCTGTGGTACATAATTTTAACCATGAACTGTGGAAGTCGACCCAAAGTGGTTCTACTTTTTATCGCACTCGTTTCCCACATTGCGTACTTCAATTAGGACGTAGTCCATCATCGCACCATAAATTTGATCACTCTGATCAGAAACTGTTCTGTTAGAGCGTACTGAAACATAAATATTCCGGGAAACGATTGAGTTCTATACTTATGTTGCCTACCGTATTGAACTGTGAACAGAGCCGAATTCGTGTCTGTCGGTCCGAAGGCTTTAGCCTTTTGGGTCAAATTGTACAACTTCTCAATGTGAACGCTTTAAGTTGTTTTATCATTAAAACTTACCTATGTGAAATGTGCTGTGAAGTCACCCTAATTATTGGGCCTTGTGTCAAAACAGTGGTAATTAAATGGGAGACTGTCAATAGGATTTAAGCCTCGATAGTTCCATTTGCTGACTTGACCAATTTTGACCGTCATTTTTCTTTTACTTTTAGGCGGTTTATGAGGGGATGCTTGTCGAACTTCAGTTCGCCCACTTTTTCCTCGCGAAGATCGTTAGTCGCAGCGGTGGTGGTGTCGGTTTTGATTATCTGCACTCGTTGGATCCGGAACTCTATCGGTAAGTTTACCGCTCTCCACGCTTTCTATTCACTACTCGGCATACAATACCAAGATCTATGTACAACACACACACACACCTCTTGTGATACCAGCCGCCTGCTGACCTCGCAGATGAAACCAACTTATCATTTTTGCTCAGCTAAGTTATTTATGCACCATTTCTCACAGAGCATTTGCGTTTGTGCGTATACTACCAAAGTTGGTCATCCAATTGTTGCTCTTCCCACGAATATGTTTTGCGATTTTTAGCTTTACTAAGTCCAAAATTTACAGCCCTATAGTAATCTATCTCATGCACATACAAAACTACTGTGCGACGCAGAATGCAATAAGCTACATTGTATAATTACCCTATCATTCTGCTATTCGGTATCAGAAATTTTGCTCGTCCTGCCTTCATCTTTGTTTAGTCAACTGCGTTATTTAAAGTCCTACGAGGGTAATGTGCGAGACCTGTCGTTGGATTTCACTGTGATCCGGTCGACATTTGGGGAGTCGGAAACGGTGGAATTGAAACCCGGTGGTCGACATATCCCAGTCACCGAAGAAAATCGAGTGGAATATATGCATTTAATGGCTTATTACAAATTGAATAAACAAGTGAGTCTGTAATTGTGTAATGTTTTCTATCTGCAAATATGCTCTATTCTCACATTTGTTGAAACGAATGTGACTTGAGGAAACCCAAATAAGGTTGAAGTGTCCTTTAGATCTGAGTAGGCGCATATTTTGTTTTCCTTCTTCTGTTATATCTTATGACTTTTATCAAGAAATAAATCGATACTTTGCTGCTTTGTGTTTAGTTCAGTTTGAACAACCATAAATCATACATTTCCGTGCGACGCTTTTGGTTGCTGTCTTTGGCTACCCATTTGGGTGAACAATGGGAGGAAAACAGGAGGGTTGAAAGTAGAATCGAAGAGAAAATTGAGAACTTTAGTGGACTAATGAAGCAGAGAAATTGAGAAGATGCACGAACGCCGTTATTTACGACACCCAGTCATATCACTCAGTGTCCTTAACCATCAGTTACTATCATCCCCTTGGTCCCCATCCAAGGAGCCTTACGGGAACTATGCGACCCAGACTCCTGGTTAGGGTTTTCATACTCTTATGCCAGGTCTTAACTTGACCACCCTTGGTTTTATTCCACCCACTACATGCCTCGGCGAACATCGCTCGTCGTGGCAACCTATTTGGTGACATACGTACCACATGACCCAACCAACGTAATTTATGAAGGTCGACCATTTGCTCCAGTGGGCGATCGCGGTTGCCTATAACTCTGCGTCTGACCTCCGCATTCCTCATCCGACTGCCCCACCAGATTCGTGCAATGCTGCATAGACAGTGGTGTTCAATCACCGACGGTCTATCTTGATCCTGTTTTCTCAATAGCCAAGTTTCTGCTCCATATAGCAGAGCGGGCCGAACTGGTGCAGCATGCACTCGACCCTTCACAGACAGCCGGATGTCGCGCCGCCGCTTCAGATGTCTCAACTTGGCAAACGCCAACCGAGTTAGAGTGAGCCTGGGTGTTGAACCGACCCAGTCTTTTGGT